GCCCGATGTGTCCTGTCGACTACTCAAGTGGGCCATCAAGTTAAGTGAGTTCGATGTGTAGTACCAGCCGAGGACGACCATTAAAGCAAAAACACTAGCGGACTTCATGGTCGAGTCTACGTCGCCACAAGAGTCTAGGGATTCTACACTGCCACAGGAGTCTCGGGAGTATACCCCACCACAGGAGTCCCTAAAGGAGCCCACCTACTCAATACATACTGCTTCCACCCACCATGAGGCTAGCCCAGACACTATAATAAGAGTGCCCGACATCTCAGAGATAGCTTCATAGGCCTTGGGAGACCACACTCAAAGACTAGAGGCGCCCGACTCCCGTATACCTACCCCACCAGAGCCCTCTATGCCCTCTCTACTGTCTATTGAACCATGTTGGAGACTATACGTGGATGGGTCCTCCACCAGCGAGGGCGACAGCATGAGACTAGTGTTGATCACCCCCACGACACTCCACTCAAGTACGTTGTCTCCCTCCACTTTACAATATCCAACACCCAAACTAAATATAAGTCCCTCATATTAGGATTGAAGTTGGCATTAGAGATGGAGGCCCTCTACCAGATAACCTATAATGGTTCATAGTTGAGAGTCAACCAGATAAAGGGAGACTTTGAAGCAAATAAGCAGAGAATGCAAGAATACCTGTTAGTGGTCCAGACTTTGTTAAAAAGGTTTACTTACTTCCAAATCCACCATGTGTCCCGAGAGGAGAATGTCATGGCAGATGCTCTCGCCAAATTCATGTCTACCAACATACTCATGGGCCCGACGCTAACAAGTCACCAGTTCGAGCCAAGCACCTTCCAGACATAGGAGGACTATGTTAATTGTACATTCTCAAAAACCAAGTAGATGAAACCCATCCGAGCCAACCTAGAGGAGGGCACTCTCTCGGACAACCCATTGGAAGCCAAAAAGTTGAGGATGAGAGCGCCCACGTGTGTCATCTTATGCGACACTCTAAAAAAAGAGTTACTCACTACCACTTCTCCGATGTTTTACCCCTGAGGAAGCTAATTATTCCATGAGGAAGATCCTTGAGGGAATATGTGAAAATCACTTGGGAGGACATGCACAAGCCCACAATGCAGTAAGGCAAGGCTACTACAGGCCTAGCTTGATCAGAGACGCCCAAGAGTTCGTCAGGTAGTGCAACAAGTGCCAACACTTTGCAACTATACCCAGACAGTCACCTGAAGAGCTCACCACCATTTAGAGTCCATGGCCCTTCTCCGTGTAGGGGATCGACATCCTAGGTCCCCTACCCATGAATCGAGGCATGTTCAAGTTTGTGGTAATAGTCATTGACTACTTTACTAAATTGGCAGAAGCCGAGACCTTAGCCAGGATAAGACTAGAAGGTGAAAAACTTCATATGGAGGAGTCTAGGTTGCCGCTTCGGAGTATCTCACGCCATTGTGAGTGACAATGCCAAGTAGTTTGACAACAAACTCATTAATAGCTTCTGTGTTGACTTACAGATCAAGCAGCCTCACTACAGCCCGACCCATCCACAGGCAAACGGGCAGGCAGAGGTCACCGTCAGGACCGTCCTCCATAATTTGAAAACTAAATTGGAGAGTGTGAAAGAACGATGGGTAGACAACTCCAGGGAGTGTTGTGGGCTTACCAGATGACACCAAGGAGCCCTACGGGCGAGACCCCTTTTTCCTTAGNGCTGGCATTAGAGATGGAGGCCCTCTACCAGATAACCTATAATGGTTCATAGTTGAGAGTCAACCAGATAAAGGGAGACTTTGAAGCAAATGAGCAGAGAATGCAAGAATACCTGTTAGTGGTCCAGACTTTGTTAAAAAGGTTTACTTACTTCCAAATCCACCATGTGTCCCGAGAGGAGAATGTCATGGCAGATGTTCTTGCCAAATTCATGTCTACCAACATACTCATGGGCCCGACGCTAACAAGTCACCAGTTCGAGCCAAGCACCTTCCAGACATAGGAGGACTATGTTAATTGTACATTCTCAAAAACCAAGTAGATGACACCCATCCGAGCCAACCTAGAGGAGGGCACTCTCTCGGACAACCCATTGGAAGCCAAAAAGTTGAGGATGAGAGCGCCCATGTGTGTCATCTTATGCGACACTCTAAAAAAAGAGTTACTCACTACCACTTCTCCGATGTTTTACCCCTGAGGAAGCTAATTATTCCATGAGGAAGATCCTTGAGGGAATATGTGAAAATCACTTGGGAGGACATGCACAAGCCCACAATGCAGTAAGGCAAGGCTACTACAGGCCTAGCTTGATCAGAGACGCCCAAGAGTTCGTCAGGTAGTGCAACAAGTGCCAACACTTTGCAACTATACCCAGACAGCCACTTGAAGAGCTCACCACCATTTAGAGTCCATGGCCCTTCTCCGTGTAGGGGATCGACATCCTAGGTCCCCTACCCATGAATCGATGCATGTTCAAGTTTGTAGTAATAGCCATTGACTACTTTACTAAATTGGCAGAAGCCGAGACCTTAGCCAGGATAAGACTAGAAGGTGAAAAACTTCATATGGAGGAGTCTAGGTTGCCGCTTCGGAGTATCTCACGCCATTGTGAGTGACAATGCCAAGCAGTTTGACAACAAACTCATTAATAGCTTCTGTGTTGACTTACAGATCAAGCAGCCTCACTACAGCCCGACCCATCCACAGGCAAACGGGCAGGCAGAGGTCACCGTCAGGACCGTCCTCCATAATTTGAAAACTAAATTGGAGAGTGTGAAAGAAAGATGGGTAGACAAACTCCAGGGAGTGTTGTGGGCTTACCAGATGACACCAAGGAGCCCTACGGGCGAGACCCCTTTTTCCTTAGCCTATGATACAGAGGCAGTCATGCCTGTTAAGATTGGGGTGCACTCCCTTAGTGTCTAGCACCATGACCCTACAAGTAATGAAGAAGGCATTCGCATCAACCTTGACTTGGTAGAGGAGGAGAGAGAGATAGTTATCATCAGGAATGCAGAGTACAAGCATCGCATGATCAAGTACTACAAATCGAGGGTGAAGCCTCGCTCCTTCTTGCCCGGAGACCTAGTCCTCCAAAAGGTCACCTTGTCTACCAAATTCTCTTAGGAAGGGACAAGAGGACCCAACTGGGAAGGACCCTACACGGTCACAAAAGTTATAAGACCAGGCACCTACAAAATTCAAAGTTCCGAGGGAAATGTTTTGGCCAATCCATGGAACGCAGAGTACCTAAAGAAATATTACCAGTAGCTGGGGGCAAGGTAGTGAGTGTATAAGTTAGTAGTCATCATTTAGATTATCTATTGTTGTTTTGGTCAATTTCCTTTGATATTTACTTCGAATTATGAAATAAAATTTCGCAAATATTTTTTCAAAAAATTTTTATCTCATAAAAACTCATAATACATTTACAACAGATAGAAAAAGGCCTAGTAACAAAAATATAAATACAAAGATACCATGCTCTTGAAGTCACTTACTGCCCTTCGATCCGCTCCCTTCATCGCTCGCCTCCTCATCATCTGTCCTTGGAGCCACATAAGGGACGAAGCCAGAAAAATCAAAAGCGAAAAAAGTTGTTGAGATCTTCCTCTTGAGCTCCTTATAGCCATCAATAAAGGCATCTGCCACAGCCCTCTTAGCAGCGTCCCTCTTCTTCTCCATCTCTATGGAGTAAGCCTCTATCCTAGTAGCTCTCTCAAGACATACTTGAAGGTTAGCCTCTGCTACAGCAACCCTCTAATGGGACGCTTGCTGCTCTGTCTCTACCTTCATGCAGGCAGCCTCTCTGTCAGCCTCCAACTGGGGGCCCTCTCGCGGGACGCCTGAAGCTCAGTCTCAAGTGTGGTAGCTCTCTCCTGTGCTAGTCTTGAATGCTCCTCGGCAGCCTCTCACGCCTACCTCTCGATCCCTAGATGCTCCTTAGCAGTCCTCTACAACTACCACTCTGCTGCTTGACCATTAAGCGCCTCTCTAAGCTTTATCGTGCTTGAAAACAAGCAGTAAAAAGCAGGAACTACCTATAGACATTCAAAAGATAGAACGTGAAAAGAAGGAAGCCAGGTACAAGATCAAAGATGAGTAAAAGGCATACCAAAGTAAAGCCCTCCATCGTTGTGTCGATGACGCCCTCTAGACCTCGAGAACCAACCTCCTCGATCTCCATGGAAGTCACATAATCTCTGAGAACTCCTTGAAAGGATGGTCACGAATTATCTAGAGCCTACTATCCTGCTCTACAGATAATGTGGGTGAAACTACATAGAAGCCAATTATACAATGAGAGCAGATGTGTGACGAATAGAACTAAAAATGAAAGTGGAATTCTTACCTAACTTGGTCCTCAGGATGGTGTCCTACCTTGAAGGCACCAGGTCACAATCTCCCTTAGTGGCCCACTCACCTCCAACAAAGAACTTAGACTTCTAGCAATGACAGTTCGAAGAAAGCCTAGTGATGAACTTGTTCGACCCACGGGGTGAAACGACACCACCCTTGATGAGGAAAAGGGTTATTTAGAAGCACATAAGTGGTCAAAAACTCTTCGAATGGGAGAGGTATGTCAGCACTGTGAACTAGCCACCATAGTGAGAAAAATGCCAATATCACCCTCCACCCGTTGGGAGCCAACGTCCCGAGAGCCAGTAACAGATGTCCTAGGACCCAACATATGGGCCTAGGTATTGGGAACCTCAAACTCGCCTCTAAGGCATCCTCATAAAGAACAATCTCACCCGAGGAGTCACTACATGCTAGCTCATCCTCCTCTGCCCAAAAACACATGATAGTAGGAGGGATATGATACAATCGATATAATCAGTGCAATCAATGGAGTTGAATATGGAAGTCACCTTTGAGTCATTATCTCCAGTAGTCCCCTTGTTTCGCTCGATGTCTCGAGAAGTTTCCCCCACAATGACCTTGTCAGAGTGGGTGCTTGCCAAGAAACAAAATTAAGACAGAATCAATGCCATTGTCAAGAGAATACCAGTATCTAGTGAGGCTTAGTCCATGGAGTAGAAGCTTAGTCCTAGGAAATTTGTTTTGAAGAACATCTTACCTATTTGGAGAACAAGCATGCCCAAGCCTTTATTGGCGTCGCCCATCACTCCCAAGCCTCCACCGACGTCGTCCTCTGCACCTATGCTTCCACTAGAGCCCTTCCCCGTGCCACCACTTTGACAAGCGTAGCTTGCCATGACGCTGGCGCCACCCAGTACGTGATGGGCATCGCCCCACCTAGCCTCTTCGGCGTCTTCCTAAGGATCCCTTTTGGCGTCGACCAACCCACAAAGGGCGTTGCTACCTATGCCCCTAGCGCCATCAGCAAAGGAGCTAACACCACCATCCACTCAGGAACCCGTACTNTTGGAGAACAAGCATGCCCAAGCCTTTATTGGCGTCGCCCATCACTCCCAAGCCTCCACCGGCGTCGTCCTCTGCGCCTATGCTTCCACTAGAGCCCTTCCCCGTGCCACCACTTTGACAAGCGTAGCTTGCCATGACACTGGCGCCACCCAGTACATGATGGGCATCGCCCCACCTAGCCTCTTCGGCGTCTTCCTAAGGATGCCCTTTGGCGTCGACCAACCCACAAAGGGTGTTGCTACCTATGCCCCTAGCGCCATCAGCAAANCATTCGCATCAACCTTGACTTGGTAGAGGAGGAGAGAGAGATAGTTATCATCAGGAATGCAGAGTACAAGCATCGCATGATCAAGTACTACAAATCGAGGGTGAAGCCTCGCTCCTTCTTGCCCGGAGACCTAGTCCTCCAAAAGGTCACCTTGTCTACCAAATTCTCTCNCCTTCGCATCAACCTTGACCTGGTAGAGGAGGAGAGGGAGATAGTTATCCTCAGGAATGCAGAGTACAAGCATCGCATGATCAAGTACTACAAATCGAGGGTGAAGCCTCGCTCCTTCTTGCCCGGAGACCTAGTCCTCCAAAAGGTCACCTTGTCTACCAAATTCTCTTAGGAAGGGACAAGAGGACCCAACTGGGAAGGACCCTACACAGTCACAAAAGTTATAAGACTAGGCACCTACAAAATTCAAAGTTCCGAGGGAAATGTTTTGGCCAATCCATGGAACGCAGAGTACCTAAAGAAATATTACCAGTAGCTGGGGGCAAGGTAGTGAGTGTATAAGTTAGTAGTCATCATTTAGATTATCTATTGTTGTTTTGGTCAATTTCCTTTGATATTTACTTCGAATTATGAAATAAAATTTCGCAAATATTTTTTCAAAAAATTTTTATCTCATAAAAACTCATAATACATTTACAACAGATAGAAAAAGGCCTAGTAACAAAAATATAAATACAAAGATACCATGCTCTTGAAGTCACTTACTGCCCTTCGATCCGCTCCCTTCATCGCTCGCCTCCTCATCATCTGTCCTTGGAGCCACATAAGGGACGAAGCCAGAAAAATCAAAAGCGAAAAAAGTTGTTGAGATCTTCCTCTTGAGCTCCTTATAGCCATCAATAAAGGCATCTGCCACAGCCCTCTTAGCAGCGTCCCTCTTCTTCTCCATCTCTATGGAGTAAGCCTCTATCCTAGTAGCTCTCTCAAGACATACTTGAAGGTTAGCCTCTGCTACAGCAACCCTCTCATGGGACGCTTGCTGCTCTGTCTCTACCTTCATGCAGGCAGCCTCTCTGTCAGCCTCCAACTGGGGGCCCTCTCGCGGGACGCCTGAAGCTCAGTCTCAAGTGTGGTAGCTCTCTCCTGTGCTAGTCTTGAATGCTCCTCGGCAGCCTCTCACGCCTACCTCTCGATCCCTAGTTGCTCCTTAGCAGTCCTCTACAACTACCACTCTACTGCTTGACCATTAAGCGCCTCTCTAAGCTTTATCGTGCTTGAAAAAAAGCAGTAAAAAGCAGCAACTACCTATAGACATTCAAAAGATAGAACATGAAAAGAAGGAAGCCAGGTACAAGATCAAAGATGAGTAAAAGGCATACCAAAGTAAAGCCCTCCATCGTTGTGTCGATGACGCCCTCTAGACCTCGAGAACCAACCTCCTCGATCTCCATGGAAGTCACATAATCTCTGAGAACTCCTTGAAAGGATGGTCACGAATTATCTAGAGCCTACTATCCTGCTCTACAGATAATGTGGGTGAAACTACATAGAAGCCAATTATACAATGAGAGCAGATGTGTGACGAATAGAACTAAAAATGAAAGTGGAATTCTTACCTAACTTGGTCCTCAGGATGGTGTCCTACCTTAAAGGCACCAGGTCACAATCTCCCTTAGTGGCCCACTCACCTCCAACAAAGAACTTAGACTTCTAGCAATGACAGTTCGAAGAAAGCCTAGTGATGAACTTGTTCGACCCACGGGGTGAAACGACACCACCCTTGATGAGGAAAAGGGTTATTTAGAAGCACATAAGTGGTCAAAAACTCTTCGAATGGGAGAGGTATGTCAGCACTGTGAACTAGCCACCATAGTGAGAAAAATGCCAATATCACCCTCCACCCGTTGGGAGCCAATGTCCCGAGAGCCAGTAACAGATGTCCTAGGACCCAACATATGGGCCCAGGTATTGGGAACCTCAAACTCGCCTCTAAGGCATCCTCATAAAGAACAATCTCACCCGAGGAGTCACTACATGCTAGCTCATCCTCCTCTGCCCAAAAACACATGATAGTAGGAGGGATATGATACAATCGATATAATCAGTGCAATCAATGGAGTTGAATATGGAAGTCACCTTTGAGTCATTATCTCCAGTAGTCCCCTTGTTTCGCTGATGTCTCGAGAAGTTTCCCCCACAATGACCTTGTCAGAGTGGGTGCTTGCCAAGAAACAAAATTAAGACAGAATCAATGCCATTGTCAAGAGAATACCAGTATCTAGTGAGGCTTAGTCCATGGAGTAGAAGCTTAGTCCTAGGAAATTTGTTTTGAAGAACATCTTACCTATTCGGAGAACAAGCATGCCCAAGCCTTTATTGGCGTCGCCCATCACTCCCAAGCCTCCACCGACGTCGTCCTCTGCACCTATGCTTCCACTAGAGCCCTTCCCCGTGCCACCACTTTGACAAGCGTAGCTTGCCATGACGCTGGCGCCACCCAGTACGTGATGGGCATCGCCCCACCTAGCCTCTTCGGCGTCTTCCTAAGGATCCCTTTTGGCGTCGACCAACCCACAAAGGGCGTTGCTACCTATGCCCCTAGCGCCATCAGCAAAGGAGCTAACACCACCATCCACTCAGGAACCCGTACTAAATGCGCTGGCCACCAGATCTCCTACGGCATCGCCTAAGCCACCCCTCATCTCGCCCATTGAGGTGATGCCTTCAGCACCATTGGCATCCCTATCTTCGACTCCCATGGCATCGCCAGTGCCATGGGCGTCGTGTTCTCCACCTTAGTCGCAACCTAGAACAAAATGGGTGTCGCCCATGCCTTCTCCAATGCGGGTGCCGCACATGCTCTCTCCACTACCAGCTGCCATGGAATTTTGCTGGGAATCACGCCGTCGAACGTCGCCTTTGGCGTCTCTGAAACCGTCTACTGGTGGGTTGTCTCTCTCAAGGCAAGAGATCAATTGAGGAAATGTCGNAGCCTCGCTCCTTCTTGCCCGGAGACCTAGTCCTCCAAAAGGTCACCTTGTCTACCAAATTCTCTTNTGCTCTCTCCACTACCAGCTGCCATGGAATTTTGCTGGGAATCACGCCGTCGAACGTCGCCTTTGGCGTCTCTGAAACCGTCTACTGGTGGGTTGTCTCTCTCAAGGCAAGAGATCAATTGAGGAAATGTCGATACCCCTTCTTTGCTAGATTCTTTCAAAGCTTGGTTTCCATGCTCAGATTGGCCTCCTAAATTCTTTAGAAGTACCCTAAAATAAGGGAATGGGGTTTTGAAGGTTGAATCTCNTCAGGAAGGGACAAGAGGACCCAACTGGGAAGGACCCTACACAGTCACAAAAGTTATAAGACTAGGCACCTACAAAATTCAAAGTTCCGAGGGAAATGTTTTGGCCAATCCATGGAACGNCTTGGTTTCCATGCTCAGATTGGCCTCCTAAATTCTTTAGAAGTACCCTAAAATAAGGGAATGGGGTTTTGAAGGTTGAATCTCTACTCAGCAAAGCAAGAAATATAGGGAAAATGAGTTCTCAGGAATGAAGAAATCAAAGGTTGGAGAAGTACTATGGGGAAGAAGAAATCTTTTAGCTNCCATTGGTTTCCATGCTTAGATTGGCCTCCTAAATTCTTTAGAAGTACCCTAAAATAAGGGAATGGGGTTTTTAAGGTTGAATCTCTACTCAGCAAAGCAAGAAATATAGGGAAAATGAGTTCTCAAGAATGAAGAAATCAAAGGTTGGAGAAGTACTATGGGGAAGAAGAAATCTTTTAGCTTTNCGCAGAGTACCTAAAGAAATATTACCAGTAGCTGGGGGCAAGGTAGTGAGTGTATAAGTTAGTAGTCATCATTTAGATTATCTATTGTTGTTTTGGTCAATTTCCTTTGATATTTACTTCGAATTATGAAATAAAATTTCGCAAATATTTTTTCAAAAAATTTTTATCTCATAAAAACTCATAATACATTTACAACAGATAGAAAAAGGCCTAGTAACAAAAATATAAATACAAAGATACCATGCTCTTGAAGTCACTTACTGCCCTTCGATCCGCTCCCTTCATCGCTCGCCTCCTCATCATCTGTCCTTGGAGCCACATAAGGGACGAAGCCAGAAAAATCAAAAGCGAAAAAAGTTGTTGAGATCTTCCTCTTGAGCTCCTTATAGCCATCAATAAAGGCATCTGCCACAGCCCTCTTAGCAGCGTCCCTCTTCTTCTCCATCTCTATGGAGTAAGCCTCTATCCTAGTAGCTCTCTCAAGACATACTTGAAGGTTAGCCTCTGCTACAGCAACCCTCTAATGGGACGCTTGCTGCTCTGTCTCTACCTTCATGCAGGCAGCCTCTCTGTCAGCCTCCAACTGGGGGCCCTCTCGCGGGACGCCTGAAGCTCAGTCTCAAGTGTGGTAGCTCTCTCCTGTGCTAGTCTTGAATGCTCCTCGGCAGCCTCTCACGCCTACCTCTCGATCCCTAGATGCTCCTTAGCAGTCCTCTACAACTACCACTCTGCTGCTTGACCATTAAGCGCCTCTCTAAGCTTTATCGTGCTTGAAAACAAGCAGTAAAAAGCAGGAACTACCTATAGACATTCAAAAGATAGAACGTGAAAAGAAGGAAGCCAGGTACAAGATCAAAGATGAGTAAAAGGCATACCAAAGTAAAGCCCTCCATCGTTGTGTCGATGACGCCCTCTAGACCTCGAGAACCAACCTCCTCGATCTCCATGGAAGTCACATAATCTCTGAGAACTCCTTGAAAGGATGGTCACGAATTATCTAGAGCCTACTATCCTGCTCTACAGATAATGTGGGTGAAACTACATAGAAGCCAATTATACAATGAGAGCAGATGTGTGACGAATAGAACTAAAAATGAAAGTGGAATTCTTACCTAACTTGGTCCTCAGGATGGTGTCCTACCTTGAAGGCACCAGGTCACAATCTCCCTTAGTGGCCCACTCACCTCCAACAAAGAACTTAGACTTCTAGCAATGACAGTTCGAAGAAAGCCTAGTGATGAACTTGTTCGACCCACGGGGTGAAACGACACCACCCTTGATGAGGAAAAGGGTTATTTAGAAGCACATAAGTGGTCAAAAACTCTTCGAATGGGAGAGGTATGTCAGCACTGTGAACTAGCCACCATAGTGAGAAAAATGCCAATATCACCCTCCACCCGTTGGGAGCCAACGTCCCGAGAGCCAGTAACAGATGTCCTAGGACCCAACATATGGGCCTAGGTATTGGGAACCTCAAACTCGCCTCTAAGGCATCCTCATAAAGAACAATCTCACCCGAGGAGTCACTACATGCTAGCTCATCCTCCTCTGCCCAAAAACACATGATAGTAGGAGGGATATGATACAATCGATATAATCAGTGCAATCAATGGAGTTGAATATGGAAGTCACCTTTGAGTCATTATCTCCAGTAGTCCCCTTGTTTCGCTCGATGTCTCGAGAAGTTTCCCCCACAATGACCTTGTCAGAGTGGGTGCTTGCCAAGAAACAAAATTAAGACAGAATCAATGCCATTGTCAAGAGAATACCAGTATCTAGTGAGGCTTAGTCCATGGAGTAGAAGCTTAGTCCTAGGAAATTTGTTTTGAAGAACATCTTACCTATTTGGAGAACAAGCATGCCCAAGCCTTTATTGGCGTCGCCCATCACTCCCAAGCCTCCACCGGCGTCGTCCTCTGCGCCTATGCTTCCACTAGAGCCCTTCCCCGTGCCACCACTTTGACAAGCGTAGCTTGCCATGACACTGGCGCCACCCAGTACATGATGGGCATCGCCCCACCTAGCCTCTTCGGCGTCTTCCTAAGGATGCCCTTTGGCGTCGACCAACCCACAAAGGGTGTTGCTACCTATGCCCCTAGCGCCATCAGCAAAGGAGCTAACACCACCATCCACTCAGGAACCCGTACCAAATGCACTGGCCACCAGATCTCCTATGACATCGCCTAAGCCACCCCTCATCTCGCCCATTGAGGTGATGGCTTCAGCACCGTTGGCATCCCTGTCTTCGACTCCCATGGCATCGCCAGTGCCATGGGCGTCGTGTTCTCCACCTTAGTCGTAACCTAGAACAAAATGGGTGTCGCCCATGCCTTCTCCAATGCGGGTGCCGCACATGCCCTCTCCACTACCAGCTGCCATGGAATTTTGCTGGGAATCACGTCGTCGAACGTCGCCTTTGGCGTCTCTGAAACCGTCTACTGGTGGGTTGTCTCTCTCAAGGCAAGAGATCAATTGAGGAAATGTCGATACCCCTTCTTTGCTAGATTCTTTCAAAGCTTGGTTTCCATGCTCAGATTGGCCTCCTAAATTCTTTAGAAGTACCCTAAAATAAGGGAATGGGGTTTTGAAGGTTGAATCTCTACTCAGCAAAGCAAGAAATATAGGGAAAATGAGTTCTCAGGAATGAAGAAATCAAAGGTTGGAGAAGTACTATGGGGAAGAAGAAATCTTTTAGCTTTCTAGACGAAGAAGCTCACTCGTGCCCGCAATCCTTTTTTACCACCACTGGGGCTTAGGACATGGAGGGTAAATGACGAGCCCAAATCTAACTGGGCTGGACCCAATAAATCAAGTAAGCCCAAATCAGCTAAATGACAAGTCAATCCCAGTTCGAGAATTGGACCCAACCCAAGTTTGAAGGAGTCCAAGAAGAATTAGAACATGTGGTGAGCAATTATTGGGATACTCGTTTTCGAAGATCAAGAAAACCTTTTATGGCAATTACCTTTTGTAGCTACTCCGAGAATTAGTACCTTTGCCCTCAAGTCATCGCCTTAACCAAGGTCATGTGCCTATAAATTGTATGTCCTTTCTACATGCGAGGACACATTGAGCTCTACCTCTATACCACTCTACACACACAGTTTTTCTCTCTCCTAACTATTGTACCTCTCCCGGAGCTAACAATTGCTCTCTCTCTCTCTCCTGTTTACCTTACTTTATCAATAAAGGTCCCTCGGCCACGATTGCCATTTTCGAAGTGGAGTAGGTCACCTGGACCGAACCACTATATATCTGTGTTGACCCAATATTTATATTATTGCCATTGATTACTCTATTACTTATCCATTAATTACACTTTATCACACACTCGACTGTTGATCTTGCACGAGACTATTTTGATCACCATCATATATAATGGATAAATGTTGTATATTCTGCTTCAAGATTGGTTGGTGAAAGTTAGAGAAACTATGGGAAGGGATCCTAGAGAGCCAAAATAACTAACCAAACTGGTGAGAATTACTAGGTTATCGAAAATTCAAAACTCAGCTCAAGCTATAAGCTGGCCCACTTGGCTCGCCTCAGCTCAAGCTATAAGGCCATCAAGCATTGCCCACCCTTCAGTCAAAATAACAGAACTGCTCCCTTATAGGCACATAGCCCTCATCAATTAATCTCGATATCCATTATGAGATTATGTATTGTGTCTACAACTCTAAATTGCTTGGTTGTTCCTATTTTTCTAATAACCTTTTTTTTCTTTCTAACATATTTTTTTGGACACATTGTTACTTTTATAATTTTATACCAAATATTCAATTCTTATTAGTGAATTGTTTGATGCTCTATCAATGTATATCAGTTATGTAAGCAAATTAGTGAATTAGTGATATTTTTTGCCTTTTTATTTCATTTAACTATTTTAATCTTTTATCGTATTTATTAATATTGATGTTAATAATTATTCTTTTATTTTTAATGATATGATTGATTTNATATATTTTTTTTGACACATTGTTACTTTTATAATTTTATACCAAATATTCAATTCTTATTAGTGAATTGTTTTATGCTCTATCAATGTATATCAGTTATGTAAGCAAATTAGTGATTTAGTGATATTTTTTGCCTTTTTATTTCATTTAACTATTTTAATCTTTTATCGTATTTATTAATATTGATGTTAATAATTATTCTTTTATTTTTAATGATATGATTGATTTGACCGATTGACATGGTCGAATCAATTACCTATGAACCTGATCTCTTGGTCAAGTTAATGTTTGAGTTGATTTTAAAACTATGATTCCAACCATTGATCTCGCTTATGTTTGATTAGTAGTTTACAAAGATAATTTTATCATTTTCTAGTGTAAAAAAGTAATAGTCATACCTGATGATGCACAAAAATGACTTGTGTAAGATCAACAGTCAAGGATATTAACGAGTGTGATTAATGAGCAATTAATGAGCATTCAACGGTAATCAATGGGCAAAAATAGTAAATAAGCAATCAACACAGAGATTTATAGTGGTTTGGTCCGGGTGACCTACGTCCACTCTCGAGAATGACGACGATGGCCTGGGGCATTTTATTAATGAATAGTGTCACCAAGAGAGTCACTCCAGTGTATTACAGTGCTTTGGAGAGAGAGAGAGAAAAAAAAAAAGAGATGTGTGTAGGAAGGTGTAGTGTGTGTAGGGATATAAGAGTCTCAAGGTCATAAGNGACAAAAATAGTAAATAAGCAATCAACACAGAGATTTATAGTGGTTTAGTCCGAGTGACCTACGTCCACTCTCGAGAATGGCGATGATGGCCTGGGGCATTTTATTAATGAATAGAGTCACCAAGAGAGTCACTCCAGTGTATTACAGTGCTTTGGAGAGAGAGAGAGAGAGAGAAAGCGATGTGTGTAGGAAGGTGTAGTGTGTGTAGGGATATAAGAGTCTCAAGGTCATAAGGAGATCTCAAGGTCATAAGGAGATGCCATCTATGTGGAGAGGGCTTACATTATATAGGCTTAGTAAGGCGGTGAAGCGGTGACGTGAGGAAGGGAGTTTCTACCATTTTGGTAAGTTTAATTTTAGTAGGATTAAATCTCCGTATCCCAATATTCCTTCCCACGTGCTCCTATTCCGTCGGAGAAAGATCCTGAGATAGACTAGGCTTGGTCTTGACCTTGGACTTGCTTTGAAGTTAGGAGGACAAAGGGGGGAGAACTAGGAGGGCCTAGCCATGGGCAGTGCCCTTAGGCGAGATGGAAGAATGGGCGAGAGCCCTAGCTGTCCTGGGCAAGGACACCAGGCAGGTGGGCGCCAGACAGGCGGGCGTTGGGCACTGGCTCCATGGTGCTTTGGGCGTTGGCTTCTCAACTTCTTTTTGGATTCCTTCATGATGGTTTGACCCAGCTCCGATTGAGCTTCGATGACTTGGGCTCTTTCTAGGCTCTCTCAACTCATTTTTATCGGGCTTGGCCCAATTAATTTCGGGCTCATCATTTGCCCCCCATACCCCAAGCCTCTGACTTTTTGTAGGAGGAAGGGGTTAAGGGCATGTGTTTCGTCTTCGCTTGAGTGAGTATGAATTTTCTTGCTTCCCACGATGCTTTTTTATCATCAGGACTTGCTGAACTTTTTGATATCGAATTTTTTTTCTTCTTCTTGGCTTTTTCCTTTGGCGCTGGCCCCTTGGCCTTCTCTTTTTTTTTTTTGTCTTTCTTCTTTGGCTTCCTTGGCGTGGGCCTCCCTTTCCCTTTTTTTTCTTTTTTTTTTCTTTTTCTTTCTTCCTTGGCTTGGGCGCCGCCTCTTGGCTTTCTTTTTCTTTTTTTCTTCTTCTTGGGCGCCGCCTCCTTCTCACTCTTTGTTTTTTTTGGGCNTTGTCTTTCTTCTTTGGCTTCCTTGGCGTGGGCCTCCCTTTCCCTTTTTTTGCTTTTTTTTTCTTTTTCTTTCTTCCTTGGCTTGGGCGCCGCCTCTTGGCTTTCTTTTTCTTTTTTTCTTCTTCTTGGGCGCCGCCTCCTTCTCACTCTTTGTTTTTTTTGGGCCTGGGCTACAATGGAGGCTAATGTGGGGGCCACTGGAGACGGGTATGGTGCTTTGAGTGACATCAGGAGGCTGAACAGCGCCTTGAACAATGCTAGGAGGTTAGACAGGCACTTTGGGCGACACCAAGAGGCTGGTTAGGCACCTTCCGTGACTCTAGGAGGCCTTGGGCACTGCTATGTTTGGGCAACGCCTTGAGTCTCGCTATGGGCAGCGCCTCTCTAGTGCTTGGTCACTGACTGAGATTNGGCTGAACAACGCCTTGAACAATGCCAGGAGGTTAGACAGGCACTTTGGGCGACACCAGGAGGCTGGTTAGGCACCTTCCGTGACTCTAGGAGGCCTTGGGCACTGCTATGTTTGGGCAATGCCTTGAGTCTCGCTATGGGCAGCGCCTCTCTAGTGCTTGGTCACTGACTGAGATTGTCTCTAATTATAAAGGCCCTATTGATCTGGGCACTTTCTCTACTTTTAGGGTGGTGTCTTTCCCTCCTCTCAAGAGGGCGAGATTTGATGCCCCTAGTGTTTTTTGACTAACGTCTAATGGCCAGGTTGCTTTTCGGGAGTAAGGTTAGGTGGTGCCCCCACTCCTTCCCAAACTATGACTCTTGTGTGCCTAGCAAAAATAATATTATCCCAACATTAAAATATCCAACATGATTACCTGGAGAGAGAGGCAGACTGTTTGCATGGGAACAAAGTCAGAGATNTGATGGCCAGGTTGCTTTTCGGGAGTAAGGTTAGGTGGTGCCCCCACTCATTCCCAAACTATGACTCTTGTGTGCCTAGCAAAAATAATATTATCCCAACATTAAAATATCCAACATGATTACCTGGAGAGAGAGGCAGACTGTTTGCATGGGAACAAAGTCAGAGATGTGGACGTCCCGTGAGAAGGTCGCATGAACTGAGGCCAAGCTACGTACAGTCTCAGAGATGGCTGGAGATCTACCATGGTAGAAGTGACTACTTGTGTGAGAGCAGTCATAGAGGTCGAGCTACATATAGTCTCGAAGATGGCTGCCATAGCAGAGGCTTACTAGTTGACTTGCGAGAGAGTAGAGTNAAAGGGTCGCATGAACTGAGGCCAAGCTACGTACAGTCTCAGAGATGGCTGGAGATCTACCATGGTAGAAGTGACTACTTGTATGAGAGCAGTCATAGAGGTCGAGCTACATATAGTCTCGAAGATGGCTGCCATAGCAGAGGCTTACTAGTTGACTTGCGAGAGAGTAGAGTCATAGACCGAGCTACGTATAGTATCGGGAAATGGCTGCCGTAGCAGAGGCTTACTAGGTGACTTGCCCGAGAGCAGCGTCATAGGTTGAGCTACGTATAGTCTCGGGAGATGGCTGTCGTAGCAGATCCTTGGCTTTGGTATGTCCCGCACTCCTCTTTAGCTTTGTACCTGGCTTTCTTTCTTTATACTTTACTTTTGAGTGCCTGCAGGTGGCTGCTGCTTTGCCTTGATTGTTTACCAGTACACTGAAGATCAGGGAGGCAATCGATGGCCAGACAGTGGAGAGGCAGACACGTGAGGCTGCT